TGCCAAAAATTTAAGACCACTGTAAACCTCACTGCTTTTTCTTTTTAAATGCCAAGCACATTGCTTTGGCTGTTTGGCAGTATAAACAGACAGCTATTTAGGAACTTGTATAAAATAAATTTCCAAAGCAAAACACTCCAGCAATTCTCTGCGTGCACTTCAAGCTCTGGGGGGAGGCTGCAAGGCTAAAGATGATAGTGTTAGACATACTGCTTAATGCCTCACTGAAGACAACTCAGATGCTGTATCGGTAAAAAAGCCCTGTGAAGCAGTGCAGAAAGTAAGAAGGCTCCGTTCCAGAACATAGCCGCCTTCCTTTCTCTTAGTATGTGTCCTTGAGTCTTTTCTCGGATATTTAAACAGCCTTGAAAAGCATATGTTGAGTATGCATAGAAATAAAATCTAGAGATGTGCTTAATTTAGAAATATGTGTATATTGGTACTTTTCCTCCCATTCACCCCATCCAGGCTGCAGGCTTGGCGAATCAGTTAAATGCCCGCCTAGCTTTGATGTGAAAGAAACTTCAGAACAAACTTAAAGTTAAGGCCATACATTTAACTGCTCTTAGGAAATACACTTAATCAGGTTAGGTGGCTACCTGAATTAAGGCCCCAGAGTGAAATGTCCAAAAGGTAACCAAATTTCATTCAATAAGAAAATACGAAACTTCCTGAGAGTGCACGAGAGAACTAGGCAGATCAAGGTCACATCCTACCTGGCACAAGTTAAAAAAACTTACTAGTGCAAATCTTTCAGGCCATTTGCTTCACCTGACACTAAAATTCAAATCAGAGTTGAATTAAGATCATGCATATGTGCAAACATTAAAAACAATTAAAAAAATGGCAGTCTGGATTATTGCAAAGATAATACTGTCATGACGGTTATTTCCACCATAATGAAAGCAAACCTGTTCATACCCGTAATTCCTTTCCATGTTTTTGTTTAAGGTCTTGAACAAATGCATTGTGGTTTGTTGCTGCCTCTTGAAGTGCCTTCTCCACCATAACTTCTGTGTGCATTTCGGCCTTTAAAACAAGCAATTATTTGAATATAGTTGCTAACATTCTACTAAATAAAATACTATCAAGATGAGGCAAAGGTTATGTATCCAATAGTTCTGCTATTTTCCTTTTAAAAAGCAGAGCAAGATAAATTTAAATGCAGAGGATCAAATGCGTTTTGGTCCATTTGACAACATTACGGTGATTCCTGTTAAAAGCTGCTCCCAAAAGAGCACTGAGCCACCACAGTTGTAACTGCTACATGTATATATAATATAAAGAGCAGTTTGAGAACCTTATATAGTGGCATGTGGAGCAGTTTAACCAGCTGTTATCTTTTGGCTGCTTTAGAGGCCATTTTCTGAACAGATGTAAAATTTGTTATAATTCAGGCTATGCTATGTGGAGATGGGGAACTGGGGAAATCTGTGCAGATCTATGGACAAAGCACAAACTGAAATTAATGGCAGCTCCAGAGCAATAATCTCAAAGATTTTTATCCTCTCTTCATGCTAGAATGAATAGTCCAAAGAAGCATCATCATTTAAACGACAGCAGTGCAATTAAATTTACCTGCGACCAAAGTTCAGCCTTCATTTTCTCAATACGCTCCTGTATCTCTGCTTCCTTCTTATTATGCAGCTCCTGCTGAATGCCTGCTCCAATCTCTGTACAATCAACACAAATGGGTCGTGCACAGCAAACAACCACAGAGAAAATAATGTAAAGGGAGAGGGAGCCTTCCTAAGGCCTTCTGTGTGTGTTTTACATTGTTTATGTCGGCAAAGTCCTGAGGCCTTGTGAGATGAGCACAGCCTTCATTCTCTGGCTGTGCTTTCAAAAGCCTTGGTGCTGTTTCAAACAGAAACCAGACATTCCCCTCTTGCAAGGAGCATTAAGTAAAAAGCACAGCTCGCTTTCAACAGAACTTCCTCCTGCTGATTGGAAACCTCTGTAATAACTAGGCCTAGCGTGTAAAGTTGCCTCATACTCTTGCTGCATCCTGAACACGCAAATGCTGCCATATGTTTTCCGTCATCCTTTAAGGCACATTAGGAAAAGCAAACCCCAGCTTTGCAGAGTGCTTGTATCAGTACGGCATCCCACTCTTCAGAGTCAGCTCTTTGTTTAGCCTTTTTCCCACAGTGAAAGTGCTAGCTATGTTTAAATTGTTATTTTTTTAAGTTGCACTCTGCACAGCTGTAACTGGCAAGGAACTAGCAAGGGAGAACTCTGGTGATTTAAATAGAGCTTGTACCAGGCCCTGACGGAGTTTCAAGATAGGTCACTGGCCAGGGTCAGATAGGAGCGGGTAGGATTCAGGATCGAGGATCCCAGCTGGGCCCTGCTGCTGCAGGACGGGGGTGATGCTCACAAATTTTAGTGCAGTCAAGTTCTTTGCAATCTGTATGAGCCTAGAAAACATTTGCACGTGCAAATCTGAATGCCTTCATGTACAACAATGTCGTTGGCCTGATGGCCCCACCAGACGTGCTGAAGGAAAGTGAAATTATTTCTTATGGAAATGTGAATGCTTCCACAACCCTGAAAACCAGATAGTTATAGCAGCCTTTCCAGAATTCCTGCATCTCAGATGGCAAGGAAAGGATCTCAGAAACTTACCCAGTATATCCTGATGAGTGTAATAGCGTGTTTTGAAAGGCTTATACTCCCGAATCCGATCAAAGGTAGCAGGGGAAGGTGGCGTTGATAATATTTTTGAACAGAGAGCGCAGCAAACAAAGGAGCCAAAATCTGGGTTTCTGATCATTGTGGTATTCCAGCCTTTTTCTGTGGCACAGTGGCTAAAATGTCAGGACTCTGTTCTGGATAGCTCTCTCGCTGGCAGGCAGGCAGGCTGCTTATTGTTGCGACAGAAAGCACGCAAGCCAGTGCAGAGAGAAAAGAAACCATTAATCATTATTTTTCTCCCCCGTTATCCGAAACATTTGCCTTTGGGTTAAGATTCAGCCATGCTGACAAGTCAGTCACATGCTGCAGGCAGATGATGAGGGGGGTTTCTATAAAGTGACCCCTGTTCAGCCTTGGTGCGGCTTCCGACGTGGCAACTGTTACTAGGTAGAGCTCGCTTTGCTCACAAACATCGCAGGTAAGCGGCCGCTTGGGACTTATTGCTTTTTTCTTTTTTTATCCTGAATGTCAATAATTCCCATTCTAGGCATGTCGTCATCTGCAGAGATTCAAGAATGGGCACTAGTTACTGTTTCAGATATTTGACCTCAGCATTTTGTTGCGGTAGGTGGCAAAGAGCATCATGAGCAGATGACAAAAAGCTGAAAAAAAAGTCCCTGCCCAGGAAGTTATTTTGACTTGCAGTTCCTGTCAAGCCAGTTCTCATCTCTCATAAACGTTTATTATGATACTGAAGATGGAATTGAGAGAAACAGGAGAAATTTTATTGTGTTGCTTGCCTATCCTCTGTGCGCACAGAAGAGCTCTGTCTCCAGAGCCCCGTGAACAAGTTTTGCTGTTGACAGTTTTGCTCGGGTGGGGATTTTTGCTTTAATCTCAATATAGAGTTTTTATGTGTATAAAATAGGTACTTCAAACAACAAATCCCCATATTAGTACTTCAGCGTCTATTGATTTCCTACATTCTTCTCTGCGTTTGCACTTGTATAATAATTGAGTTTCAATTTTTAATAAATAATTTCTGTAATACTGAGTTACCTGTCTAGCAGCTAGTATGAAGAATCTTAAACAAAAGAACAAGTGTAAACATGCGCTCTTCCTCTGGACAGGACTGTTCTGGGTCAGTCCGGTCAGTGGGGCACTACTCCATCCACCAGCTCACAGGTCCCATCTGAGAGCCATGTTTTTACAGCGTCCATCAGCTGGACTCTGCCCAGATTAGTCCTAGGCCTTCCTCCTTCCCCTTTTTTTTTCTCTGTAACTTGCAATGATCCATATTCAGTTCATGAAACATAATTCAACATTTAAGGGAAACCAAGCTTTTCCCAAAAGGCAAATTTAGGAAACATTTAAGGAAAACAAACCTCTCACTATTCCCAAATATTTGCAGATGGCCCATTGGGCTTCTGCCTGCTTTGCTGGAGGCCCCGCGAGGCAGGCAGGCCACGTGCGCAGCACCTCACGCACCCGGTAAACGCCACCACATCCCCTCGTCCCCTCCAGGCCCGCAGCCAATTTGGCCCCTCCAAACCATGAGGGAGAATGCAGGGAGGAAGGGGACAGGCTGTTCTCACTGGTGGCCAGCGACAGGACGAGGGGTAATGGCCACAAGCTGGAGCACAGGAAGTTCCGTCTCCAGGTGAGGAGCAACTTCTTTACTGTGAGGGTGACAGAGCAGTGGAACAGGCTGCCCAGGGAGGTTGTGGAGTCTCCTACTCTGGAGGTCTTCAAAACCCGCCTGGATGCCACCCTGTGCCTCATGCTGTAGGTGTGCCTGCTTGAGCAGGAAGGTTGGACTAGATGATCTGTAGAGGTCCCTTCCAACCTTGAATATTCTGTGATTCTGTGATGAGCAGCGACTGGGCTTGTTCACATTGATGAACTCTCTTCCTTATGTGCCCATAAGGATGCAGTGATTGCAGACTTTCCTATTTGAGTTCAGTGATTTATAATAAATTAGTGTTATATAATGTGCTTTGCAATTTAGAGAAACACAGTTATTGAAATGCAGAGTAGGAACACAAAGTTTCACCCTTAACAATGCTTGACTTCTCACAGATTTCCATCTTCTCCTACTTAAAGCTCTTTCAAAATCGCCGTTTTTTCTGCTCAGCCCCACAGCCCCACCCATCCCAGGCCAGGTCTGCCTCATGCAGCAGTTTAGCCGCAGGTGTATTCTTGTTTCAGATCTTTTGATGACAGCTGAGACAACTGATAAAAAAAATGGTTAAAGCAATTGCACAAGTCTCATTTCCTCAGGAAGTCAGGGAAAAGGTAGTTCAAAGGAGAAAGAAAGGATGTCAAATAATAGTAAGGGAGAATCCAAGGATCTTTTTGGTCTGTATTTTACCATTTCCTTCATTAAATACAACGCATCAGCAACATCTCTACCAAATCTAACATTACCTTTAAAAATATTTCAATTGCAAAACTGTAATTGTCAACTTTCAGCAGAACAAAAGATTATCTTTTTCACAGATGATGTAATACATCTGGTATTAAAAAAAATAAAGGACAAACCCCTTGCTTTCACCTTAATCAAACAGAGGACTGAGTTGAACTACCAAGTGTATTTCTGTGGCATTTACTACTCTCGTTTGCACATCAAAGTCAACTGTGTCTCTACTAACATGCTTACGAGGGTCCCAGGCAGCAAATCTTAAAATCACGTTACTGTTTATCTTAATTACAATTTATTTTATAGGGGAAAATTTAAAATGGAACTTGAATTGGATTATATGGCAAGAGAGACACCCATTATTTCAATGGACAGAGGAAACAGTGGTAGTTACACTGAGAATCTCTGTGCCTGATTTGCAGATATCCTTCCTTCCTTCTTCAGTCCCACTTGGAAGTTTTCCTCCGCATATATCTGGATCCTTCACTGTCAATTGCTTCATAGAGGTCATTTTTATTCTCTATTGTTGCATGCAAATAACCAAGGTAGGCCACGCAGAGGGTAATTCCTACAAGCCCAAATGCCATCACAGGCTTGTTCTGTCAAAAAAAAAAAAAAAGATTAGTATGCACGTGTACTCAAAACCTTTTAATCACAAACATTTTCAGTTTTAGATTAGAAAGGGAAAAGTAGTCTTATTTTATCGTTTACAAAAATCATCATTGCTTTTTTTTGATAGACTGATGCGAATGACTTGGATGAGAAGCAAGAAGGGACATGTGACTTTATGACAGCAAAAGGAACTCCTTCTGAAAAGGAGGGCCCTCCTTTCCAGGAGACAGAACATGCTATGGAGCACAGCGCTATCCCTTACGGATCACAAATGCTGCCTGAGCATGAACTGGCCAAACAGTTCCTGCACATGGCTGTTACTAGTGAGACAACGCACTATGCTCCTGCCAAGTGACTGTATTTCTCTGAAACAGATCATATATTGTTGTCACAAAGTCTGAATTTATTTTATAGAGAGAATTTGACCCAGTTTGGCTAACTGAACTGAGTTCTGTACGTGCAAATAAAACCAGAGTATCACAAATTTAATTAGAAAAGCAAATATTGTAACAAGCAAATTGGCTGATATGTTTAAATCATACTTCTATCCTATGTAAAAGTCCATTTAAAGTACTCTGCCATGTCACCCTCCCTCATCACGATGGTTAATAAACTCTGCATCAGAAATAGTAGGCAAATATTGTCTCTATACTTTTCTATTAACTTTTGTTTTTTTGAATTACCACCTTATGAATATTAACGGACTGTTGGTGCCAGAGCTAGTAATAACTAGTGGATTCTCTAACAGCATGTAATCAGGTGCCTCAGATTAGTGAAATGTCCTCAAAACCTCCTATCAAACAAGATGAAACTTTTTAACAGCTATTAGCGGGTTTAATAAACAAGACAATAATTGTATATGCATATATAAGGACACAGACAAATACAGAGAGCATAAGAAAGCAAGCATGCTACAGGATATAAGGAAGTGTACCAACATTTCCACGGACTCTTACAATTTGGGTATATATAAGGAGAGGAAGACAGAGAGAAAAAGAAAAATCTACAAAATATTTAAAAGCTACCAAAAATTCTCATTTGTGATTATTAAAGAACATGTATTTTAGAATTTGTTCCCTTTTAAATATTTAAGAGGACTCATATTACTCAACCTGTCAAATGACAAGGACAGTATGCCTGCAAGCAGTCTTCCTGAAAGTAGATCCATCAGACACAAAAGGATCGGACATTATAATGGTGCAATAAAAATGGACATAAACAATATAAAATTCTGGGCACTTAACAATCAGACTGGAAAAAAACAAGTATTTTTAGTTACACTACTGTGTGGTTGGCATAACAAGAGATGGTTATATAATGCACACAGAATTGAGCTTATTATTTTAAAGCAATCATGGTTCTCTAATCATATTTAGCTGCTCCTTAAAGAGCCTCTTACAGGTTTAATGAAGAGCTCTGGGTTTACAGCTCGGAAGAGCGTGGTTGTTCGAACACCCCTCAATCCTGGGATTCTCTCTTTAGGAGTTTCATTTTCATTCGACGGTTTGGTGGAAGACATTATAATTAATTCTGAATACTTCCTAAAGACAAAATGAAAAATAGAGGTCACTTTCTTCAAACAAACAAACAAACTAAACTGAGCAAATCTGACACTCAGATTTCATTCCTCCAGCACAAATTTGTGTATATAATAACTACCACATTTGATGGTATCTAACTTTGCCACTTTAAGCACACAGGTTTACAAATCTTTTCAGTTTTGTTCTTTCTAAAATGGACCTTGGGAAGTGACGATCTTTACAGAGCAAATGCAAACCTTATGGGCTTTTCTAAATGCCACCTGAGTGATGCTTAAGCTGTCTGTGGCCCTGACAGCAGACCACACCGCTGAACAACCACAGCCACAGCAAATGTACCAGGGCACATTCTTTTATTTATTAACATCAGATGTGGCAGGGCAGCCCATGGCTCATTTAGTGTGGCCCCAAATACAGCCCCCATAGTTGTCCCAAAATTCAATCTCATTTTCTCATCAGAGGAGCAAAACACACAGAAGAGATGCCCACAGAAACAAACTGAGTGAAGGTGAGACAAAAAAGTCTTAACTGTGCTTTCTGGAGAGCTGATGAGAAAGACTGCCCCACTGTGCAGGATCCCAGGCACAACAAGGACAGCAGGTTAGCACCAAGGTCGCCCAAAAGGAAGGCCAGGGCAACCCCAGGGTCGGCCAAGGCAACCACAGAGGCCCAAAGCACTTCCACCTTAGGGCTGCTGGCCTCCACACCCTATAAGCACGAAAGCCCCATCAGCTCGGCCCGTCTCCTGCGCTGCCCGTGAGCAGGCCCGCGCCGGGGGCACCATCCTCCGCCTCAGCATGGGCTGCAGCGCTCCCCGCGGCCGCCGCTCCGCGCCAGACACCGCGCGGGGCTTAGCGCCGCGGCGGAGGGGATCACTTTTCCCGAGGGATCCCGCCCGGCCCGCTGAGGAGGGTCCGGAGGAGACAAAACGCGCACGGCGCCTGCGCAGCCGCCAACGGCTCCAACGCCGAGGCGGTTGTGCCGGGGAACCGTTAACGCTCGGCGCACCCCCGCCCCCCGCCACTCACCGCGCC